GTTTGTTTCAGTGTCGTACATTAAGATTTGAGATGGAGCCAGATAAAACAGAGACGGATATGAATCAAAAAATAAAAATCGTATTTATCGCTTGCGGGAGGACAAAAGAATAGTTGGCCAATAGCAATAACGTTTGAAATACATATACATTCTTGTCGACAGAAACATTATGTTTGGAATAAAAAAAAAAATAATGAAAAATAATTTTTTTCAAAAGAATCCACTTAATAAATTACATTATAGTATAAAAGTTTTAAATCGATACTCACTTGATAGACCTTAGCCATTTATACATAAAGATTAGTGTTTTGTTTAAAATATACATACGTATTTGCGTAGAAAAAAAATCATAAAATTAATTATTATTATTTTTAATTATCTGTGCATACCTATCCATATGTATTTATAATATATTTTATTGATAAATCGTTTTCATTCACTAATGTGCTTGTAAAATCTGATTATGTTTAGTATTGTATTTGTATAAGTTATCAACCTATAGGATATTAAATATGTGTTTAGATAAACCCAGACTGTTTAAAACATAAAATTAGTTTTATTTTAATTTTATAGTTAATTACCGTAACATGAAATGAATAAGTAGAAATTAAAGTAGAAAACCTTTAGTAATACGATATCAAAAGAGATAAAATATAATGTTTTTGACAAAGGAACGAGACAAATGTAAAAAAAAAAAAAAATAATCAAATACAGAAATATAACGTTTAGTTACAAAATCCAAGAGAAATAAAATTTGTTTGAATAAAAATATAAAATACGTATTTAGACTTCAAAAGACTGTCGAGTCGTTAACATACAATTCGAATATTCCGTTTTTAACAGCTAGTCTACTTTTACTTCACGTTCAGCGTTTAAAATGGAATAATGAACTCTCATAATTTTATCATTTTTGTATTTTTTTTTTTTCTGTTTTTTTATGAAGTTTCAAAAATATAATTATAAATTCTATACAATAAGAACTTATAAAATATATGAAATAAAGTATTAAAAACGCGACTTAAACCAAAATATGTGTTTTTATATAGCACGGTAATAATATTTCCGAGTGAACAAAAACACTGTATTCCAATACAATATTGAATGCAAATATCAGAATAACAAATATTCATAACCACAATGCTATCTATATAGGTATAACAAATACTTCTTATGAAGCTTTTACTAACATACCAGCAATAGGTGTAACAACGATATTTCACCATTCACTATTGTACTTGCATAATATAAATGTAATTAAAAATCATCGAGTGAGCTGCAGTGCGGCGTATACCCATTGCGTTTTGCTATTGTTATTTATTGTAAAGGGTCTCCACTCTCTATACTATGTGTATAATATTTTAAACATATATGGGATACATAATATCACAAAACACGATACAGTATTATTTTATTATATTTAAAGTTGTTGTGCTTTAGAATATACGTTTTATGATAGACGACGATACCATTAAATCGATACGTATAAGTATTCAAATAGAAAACACAAAAAAAATGGTAATTGAATAACGTAGTTATACTCGCATACCGAAAGTTCGAGAAAAAAATAAAAATGTTAAGGCAAAAAATAATATATATTATTTCATTAAAATAATAAAGTAGAAATAATTGTATAAAGGATAATTTATTTATCACGTCCAAACAAATGTATATTTTTTTTCTTACGTAATTTTTAGTCATTATAAGAAACATTATTTAGATTATTTTTTTTACCACCAACTTTTTATACATTATTTAGTATTCACCTTTATAAAATATTATCATAAAATAAAATAAAATTATAATGATAAAGAATGATAAAAATATAATTTTTTTTTTATTAGAAAGATGTTGTTTTTTAACTACTTAAAATCATGTTAAAATGTATTTTTTTTTAATTAAATACTTTTTTAGATAATAAAATTCTTACTAGTAGTGTCGTTTAACGGGTCACCTGGAATATCACAGGTACAGATAGTGGTCCTGAATAAAAATAAAAGTAATAGCAGATAAAATTCTGTAAACTCTCGATAATTCGAAATTGCAGGTAATAGGTACTTATGAACAATTTTGAGTTACCGAGAGTGTGAATTGCTGAATGGTTTGAAATAAATATGTACAATTAATATAATTTATTGTAAAAATGTACACACAAGTTTAAGGTATTAACAATAAAGTCGAGATAAATATATTATTTTGATAAATACACTATGAATGATTATTTTTTCCCAAAATTTTACTACGAATTACTGAGTGTTCCTAAATGCATTACTTATATGCTAATTATAGTGAGATTTTTATGGGAACGAACAATTGCTTCGAATTACCGAAAGTTTCGAATAATCATAGGTTTGAACTATCGAGAGTGGACTGTAGTTTGATTGACCCTTGCAATTTAAACGGCTTTGCAACTCATTAAAGTTACACAATTCAATGACATTTCCGTGTTTAATAAAATCATAGCAGAAGGTCTCAAATGTATACTCTGTTATTTTACCCACTCATCCAATTAAAAGGGAATTTATATTGAACGACCGGGAATACGTGTTCGTTTCCACCGGATGTAGGTACATATATTATTTTAACAACTATTTATGTATGTTTGTAGCCAATAGGTACCGCATATCATGCACATTTCTTTACGCAGAACTTTAAATTTTCACAGCAGATTAAGCAAAAATATCTGTGACGATATCGTACAAGTGACATTATTCAGTTTTTATCAGATACCGAATACCTATTTTCTGGGCATATTATCTGCTGTGTACATTTGCACTGTGTATAAAATATTATTGTGTGTGGGCAAGACTTGTATCGTAGATCTCTGGCATGAGTGTTGTGGGCCTCTAGAGGTCTGCCCGGTCTGCGAGTAGCTTATAATGTTGTTTGACAATTCTGACGTGTCTCTTACGGATCGATGCAGTTAGCAGTTAACATAGAATAATAATATGACTACCCTAAAACACAATAAGGATTACGATACCTGCATCGTGATATAATATTTAAATGCTTATATTATTATTATGACGGCTGTGTGACCGTACGATAAATAATATAATATTTGTTTGACATGACCTAATTATTATATMAGATAAACATTATATTATATTTTTATATCTTCTATTTGGTATGATTYGCAGTCGAACACATTAGGTTACCTAAGTTAACGTGATAGCAATATTAATATTTTTCAAAATGCGTTCACACGTTATTATATAGGTTTCTGAGTTTTCATAATCTGATAAACGTGACGGCGTGCACTTAACAAAATCAAACGAGAGGTTTTTATATTATAAAAGGAATAGATAGGTAAGAGGGAGAAAAAAATAAAGATAAAACATATCTCAACTATCTAACGCATCAAAGCGTTTTTAAATTTTCTGTGCTATATTTATAACCGTCTCAACTCGACTGAACCTAATAATATTTTCTTTTTTTTAACACTTTTTTATGCACTTGCCTCCATAATAATAATTATATCACACTCGTATTATACAACTAATAGTGCTGCGCATCCAAATTTAATTACACACAAAATCAATTCAAATTTATTTGGTAAGTGTTCGTTTATTTAATTTGCCAGTAAARTTTTGAGTACCTATAAAATACTAATTTAACATATTAAATTGAAATGATTGGTCAAAAACAAAACGCGATTGCATTAAAATACTTATTGTATTTAAAAAATGTATATAAGACCTTTAGAATTTTAAACAATTTTATATTTTACAGTAAGCTTATTATTACAGCATTAAAACTAAAGGTTCATATATAAAAATCCACAACACAATATTATTTATATATGGTCACAGATATATTTATAACGGAAATTAATAAATGAACACAGTGCTCAAATTGATCGGTAACGACAGGGGAGAAATACCCCTTTTCTTGGAGTATACTATTGGGTATCCTTTAAATTTTTTCCTAATCAAGGTTAATATTTAGGCACCTGCATACGTGTTTCTTTTTTTACTTTATCGGTTTYCTTAAAATTTGAAAGTAGTGTATTTCAATTAGCAATACTCTAATCATACATTTTATAGTACCTAATTATGCATATAAACATTGTTATAAAAGCACATATTCATCATCATAAAACAAGCTGTATTCGTACAGGCATATGCGTAGCCAGGAGGCCACTGCATACCCTAAAACCATAGATTAAGTACACMAACAGTGCTATTTTGGTAGATGGCAGTGTATTTTGTARTGAACAATAATTTAAAATTTTGAAAAAGTTTTCTTCTGTTAACCTTAGACAATTGTGGTATAATAATCAGTAATCAGTAATCTGGTCCCTAATTTGGCTATCTCTCTAAAATTAAAGACYATGATGGCTCAAGGACACGGCTCAACAGTCTTCTACTCATAATTATAGAACGAGAACTTTCAATAAATGTTGAAGCTGATACTGTTATTGATAATTTAAAAAATAAGGTAATGGTTCTGTAAAATATTAAGTCAATGGTTCAAATATAGTTCATTATGTAATAGTTGGTAATGTATTAGTATTATTATTATAAATAATAGAATATCGTACATAGTAACTTGTTTTTTTCTTATAAATAATGATACCATTATACATTAATWGAGTTTCCTTACGATTGTGAATCTTAAATCTCAATAGAAACCTTAATTATTTGACTTGTATGGTTGTATTTAAAAAAATTGATTATTAGATCTGTGTAAGTCTATCGAGTTAAAAAAAAAAAACAATATTGAGTTGAATTTTGTAAGCGAAGGATAATTTCGAGTTAGTAAGTTTGTAATATCATTATATATTAGACGAAACCCCCTCATGACCTCTTGTATTGACAGACTTCTTGCATACCCTGAAAAGAAAAATCAGTCTACGCCTATGCTATAGGTATAACAATAATACTAATAATAGTGTTATATTTTAATCAATTTTGTGGCCTCTTTGGCAKAATCAAATATTTAAAATACAATACAGCTCAGTGGCGCAACCAGACATTTTTCCATAAAATTATCCTTCTTACCTTTTAACACGTTTTCCAAGTATGGTAACCGATCCAATTGGTCAATTGTGACTTGTTTCTGATGCTCACTCAGCACACTATTCAAGTGCTCTCTGAGATGATTTTGGATATTTTTGTCACAAGCTAACTCGTACAATGCACCCGTTACTAGTGCCGCAGTCTGTTCTATACTGCCCGTCACGAACTCAAACATATCTAATCTCACTTGTTTGTCGGCAACATCTGCGGGAAAATATAATATAATGTTAGAGTATAATACAACCATCGTGCTTGTATTATAATTTTAGACAGTGAATAGCCTTAAATATACATTATACATTATAAATAGTAATTCATCAAGCATGCTCGCCTTTACGTATTTTATCCTTAAATCATGTAATTATACAAATTTCTRATGTTTTTTTGAAAATGTTTCTGCATCTTAATCGGTTTCTATTAAGCTTTAAGAACTAAAGATAATAATATGGTTTTAAAAAATAAAAACACTATTTGTATAAATGCATAATTATAAGAATAAAATATGCGCTTGCATACTTAATGAAACACCCTATACACGATGTACATTAAGACTCAAAGAGAAATGAGCGAAACAATATYTTCACGACTTTCAGTACAACAGTATATTATCCCTTATTTAGCTCAACAAAAATATCTAGATATCCATTTATGTTTTTTTTCCATTGAGTCTCTATTTACACATAACGAAAAATTGCTAAATGTACCAAAAACATGGTTTTYTGAAACTAAGGGACGTGAGAAAACGTATATACCTGGCAATTGGCCAGACTTACTTTGATGCAGTTTTATAGATGAAAAAGTGTTTGGTCTTCTTGAAGAGATGGAGATTATCAATAATTTCCTTTAAAAAATATATTTTATCAAACTATTAGTCTGATAAAATTATGCAATATACTTTTATATTATTATTATTGATATGACATGTTTATAGGATGAACGAGTCGTATTTTTGGCTTATTCACAAAATATAACCTCAAACCATGATATTATAAAGTAATATATTATAAATAATAGTTTTTGTCATAACTTGCTAAAATAGTTTAATTCTAGTAAAACTCAAATTAAAAATATTCATAATAATTGAAGCTATTTTCGTGACTTATTGTGGTTAATAAACTTAGAATACTGCATTGTAAATTGTGAATAA